AATGAGTTTGCGTTGGGAAATTAGGCTTATTATGGCTGGTTTTAGGTACATAAAAAGACGACATTCAGTTCAGTTTTTTGCTTATTGTCGCTTTTAAAATTGTTCCTGAAGTAACATGATTGTAAATGAATGTTTATTATATTTTTGGATAAATAACCTATCGACTAAAACAAATATATATTGTGGTCTAATTACAACATATAGCATTTAGGAGTACAGTACAAATATATAGCATTTAGAGTTATAGTATATAGCATTAGGAATTTTTAAATTTAAAATTGGCACTAAAAGGTTTGTCACCCGTAATTTTTGTCACACGTAAATCCACCCTGTATACGTGTTTTAAGTTTTTATTTAACCCTGATAGATTTATAACTGTGCGGTTATACGAAATATACTTTCTTCTATCTACGAATATTTTTTTAGCTGACAATATTTGTGATCAAGATGACTAGAAATTTTATTTATGAAGTAAAAATAAAAACGAAAAGTCTGGAATTAAGGGCGGGGCTGGTATTAGAGGCATCTATCCTTCACCCATGTATAGATTGGATTCTACGGTTCAAATTCTGATAGGAATAAGTTTGTGTTAGGAACTACCGACTAGTGATTTCCATAAAAATCGGATGTTAAAAATATCAATTATAAAACGTATACGCAACAGAGACAATAATATAATAAGACATTATAGCAAGTAAATTAAGTTATAAACAAATTATTAGAAACTAAAAAGAAAACAAAAATATTAGCGAAAAGGTAGTCAAGATTACGGGAACGTAAAATGATTTTTTAAAAACTATTTAAAATCTATTTATTTCTAATTACAATTATAATTATAACTACTTAATTAATACGTCTTGACAGAAGTCGATGTCAAAACGAAGTGGCCGCTCCCATGAGCTCTGCCTGTTAAAATATTAGGTACTGCGAAAAACGTCATAGACAGACTGCTGAGGCGACTAACGTCTCAATAGCTCTACTGTACGGCGCACCGCAACACCAGATTTTATGGAAGGCATATCACCTCTTCCTTCTTCTTAATAAAATAATCAATTCTAACCACCAGGTATACATTAAATACTTTATAGTAGATAATAAAATAACGGACACGAATATCTGCAACATTACTGTATCAAAGTACAGTAATACCTCATGCAACCAAAAGTGCTGACTCTACAGTTACTGGATACTGTCTAATGCTTATGCAGCTCCCTCTAAGTACGAACCGTAACAACCCTATGGTCTTGTGGTTGAATAACTAGGTTGTGAATGTAATTTCCTTACATAAAAGTACAAACAAAAGTAACACATATCAATTTACAGAAGATATTATTTAATGGCAGCGTCATCTATAACGCATCATTGATTGGTTTAGGTTCATGATCGGCTTACAATTTAGATGTTTTTTATAGAAGAGGGGCAAACAAGCATGCAGCTCACCTGATAGTAAGTGACTACCGCCGCCCATGAACAACCGCAACACCAGGGGAATTGCAGGTGCGTTGCCGGCCTTTTAGAAAGGAGTAAGCTCTTTTCTTGAAGGTCCCTAGGTCGTATCGGTCCGGAAAAATCGCCGGTGGTAAACAAATCCACAGAGAAGTTGTACGAGGAAGAAAACTCCTAGTAAAACGCACAGTGGTGGACCGCCAATCATCCAGATGGTGAGGATGGTATCGTGAATTTTGATGAGATGTGCGTTCGTGGAATTTGGCAGCTGGAACTAGTCCAAACAATTCCTCAGAACACTCCCCGTGGTAGATACGATAGAAAACGCAAAGGGATGCAACATCCCTACGCAGCGCCAGTGAATCGAGTCGATCAGAAAGAACTCGGTCGTTGACGATTCGAATCGCTCTGCGCTGGATGCGATCAAGTGGAAGAAGCTGGCATTGGGGTGCCCTGACTCAGAAATGAGAACAGTATTCCATATGAGGCCGAACTGGCGATTTGTAAAGTTGCAAGCGATGTGTCAGCATGAAATACTGTCTCGTTATGCTGAACACGCCAAGCTTTTTAGATGCCAATTTGGCCTTCCCCTCCAAGTGACCACGAAACTACACACTATTAGATATGTCGACGCCGAGGATTCTGATGCTAACTGAGGCAGCAAGAGGAGTACCTTTAAACTGAGGAAATAAGACAAATTAGTCTTTTAAGCGGTTAAAATCACCAGTGCTGTCCTCTGCATATCAATGAATGTTACCAGTTTCAACATATCTTTTATATGCAGAAGAAAGAGCGTTGGTGATAGCACGCAGCCTTGTGGAACAGCAGCATCAAATAATATGTCTGCGGCGTTGCCTACGTTGACAGCATACTTCCATTAAAGATCGAGCGGCACAGTACCACGCCTTCTTCTAAACGCTGATTATCACACGTCATCTTGTGGAAAACAGTAAGCCTGACGGCACACGGTTTGACAGTTATTACCGCTTGCAACAGATATTGACACTTGTTACATATTACAATGCTCGACCATGCTCGACTTCATTTAGGTCGATTGTAGTCGACTGATCCGGGCTTATAAGACCCTTCCAGTCAGTATTACTACTGAAAGTGTGCACTGGGCGTGTTGAGCTCTCTATTTTAGCGGTCTAATACTAAAGGCGTGAGCAGGGTGTACATGGCCACTTTTTTTTAACTTATCAGAAGTCACTTAAACTGTGGATGGGTGTCCGTAACCCTTTCACCCACATACCGGCAACCGTATGATATTCCTCGGATCGGGCGTATAAAGACCTTTTGTCCAGATTCCTCAGGCCATATGCAGCGTGAACCGTAAGTGCGAGGCTCCTTCATCCAGCCACCGCAGGCAATAATCAGCGTGGACCATGCGTACGAGGCCCCTTCATCCAACCGCATCAGGCAATATGCGGCGTGGATCGGGCATGCGAGGCCCCTTCATCCAGCTACCTCAGACAATATGCGACGTGAACCGGGCGTGCAAAGCCCCTTCCAGCTAACTTAAGCAATACGCAGCGCGGACCGGGCGTGCGAGGCCCCTTCATCCAGCCGCCTCTCTCGACTTAACATACAACGTATATGTAATAAACGTTTGAATCCCTTAAAACAATTACCGACTACTGTATGTAACATGGACGGCGCGCACCAGGCTCTCCTCTCCAGATTTCACACTATGACTTTAATGGGTCTAGGCATCTTGAGCCCCTTTGATATTATCAATATTTTGAACGTGAAATGAAACACGGGATTTGCATACGAATAACTATAACACAGTGAGATAAGAAATTTACTTACACGCATGTGCCTGAACTTGGAATACGCGTTGACACATTACCTTTGAGGGTGAGAGTATTGGAGTTAGCAGTTACAGTATTATAGGATCGATAACGTATCACTATCGACTGGCTCTTATGGACATCTTCTTTATTGATCATCGTGGTTGCGACTTCTACTAACCCCGTAAACCCGTAAACTGTAACACTTATCAGCACATTAGAATACAAATAGCTACTTATTATTTTAATCTATAGCACATTAAAGTTTGAATTTTTTTTGGTACATCGCTTAACATTTCGTACTTAAAAAGGTACCCCAAGTAAATCATATTTCGCATGAACTATCAAATAATAATATCACTCGAGCAACTTAAATTTCCACTGTACTTTCAACATTTGTTAACATATTTGGGTACATTAAAAATATACAAATGTACTTGCGGGTACTTTTGATATAAATCGAACAAAAAGATTTAACGTTTGGCTTAAAACATTTCACTTTAAACTTTTGCTCTATATTTTAATGATAAGTCAATGTCGTAAATAGCAACAACAAATTTCATTACGTGATGTAACATTAAAAAAAACCAACGGTTTCAACGCAAAGCGTATCATAGTCTGTCAGTAAAACGTAACAACCCTTACACTATTCGAAGATTATACGTGGGCGATAAGAAGAACTTTATCCCACTTCTGATGTCGGAAAGTACAACACGAAAAGCCAATTGTGTGAGAAATAACAGGAAAGCGTTAATTATTAAAAAATGGTAAAAGTGTGGTTAATAAAAACAAAAAATGTCGTTGCTGCTTTCGTAGCCAAGCTGCCCTTACACAAGATGAATATCGGCAGTCGTAAGTTCCATAATTTTCCCAATTTATCAGTATCCTGCAACAACGACGACTTGCTTGTCTACTGCCAACATTTGGAAAATCTCCACAGTGATTTCATTGAAAGATTCCAGGACATTTTGAAATTGGAAATACCAGACTGGGTGTTAGATCCTTTTTCAAATATCAACATAGCAGTATCACCGCAACTGGAAGAAGAACTTATAGAACTGACAACGAACGAGGAAATGAAAATCAAACTCAAAAATGGCTACCAAGAATTTCGGCCACACAAGTCAATCTCGCCGTTGTACCCTGGATTGTGATCGATCGTTCAACGTTTTTTGATAGCATTTCAATCGTCATATTTGTGTGAATGTAGATTTAGCGCTGTGACAACGATGCTTAAAAAGAAAATCGTTTGCATGTTACCAAACGTGGCGACTTACGACTGCTTTTGAGTAAATCCTGATATCAACTAACTTTTTAAAAATCATCAAATTCATCCATCTCATTAGATTCATTTTATAAATGAATTATTATATACCTATTATTAATATTATAAAGTTGGGTTTAATGTAATAACGTAATCTAATGTAGGAATGTAAGTTTACACACCAGAATAATATAGCACATCATAACTAAATTAATTAAAGTAATGAAATTATGGTTTTCAAGTTTAAGGAGTGTATAAAGAATTAGGGTCGTTGGAAAATAATTGATTTTCAGAGGAGGCGGTAAATGAATAAAGTTTGATAATCTCTGCTGTAAAACGACGAGTGAAACTTATCGTTACATGTACCGTAAAAGACAGAACAAAGTCTCCAGCTAGTGTTATTATAAAAAATGTAAAAAGGACGTATAAATAAAAAAATCTTTTTAAATTTTGGTTTGTTGACAATGTGTAAATAAAACATTTTATGTCTTCCTAACCTTCCAACCGCTCTCGATGACAATGTTTAGATTCTTCAATACCGGTTCGGCTTCCATGTCGTAACGCAGGTAAAGGTCCTTGAATACGAGCCGGGCGCGCTGCGGCCAGCCGGGCGGCGGCGCCGGGCCGGCCGTCTGCTCCTGCGGCAGCGACGTGAACTGCATCACGCGCTCCACACTTGTCATCAGAGATACCACCTCCGTCGCCTGCTTGACGCCGTATTGCACCATGTTCACAAGGATCAAGCCTTGAGACAGTGCCAATCCTACGTTACCGGATTTCGTTGTACCTGCAATTTTAATATCACAATAGAATACATATTATGTGTATATATTTAATACGATATCTGCATGTCACTTAACATTTAAATATAAGCCCTCGTGTGTAAGTATATATTTTAAAGTGCAAAGGAATTTCAAACGTACACGGATTACTCCCATATTACGTGATTCATAGTTAACTCCATTATTCCTCTACGGAAAATGAAGGTATAAAAGCGAAGTCTTGTCGCCACTGACGAATTGTCTAAATTCATATTTAAAATATTTTATTGCTCACTTTTAGGACTATTCGAAAGAAATTCAATAGTATATTCAAACGAATGACTCAAAATAAATATGAACAATACGAAAATTATGTCCCACGTCCATAACACAACTTTGGGAGCACTGTACACGAAGTTGTTAGCAAATATTTGTTTACCTTGACAATGTGTACCATTAAGTAAGTTCAACTTTGACCACAAGAATCCAGCATGGCCAGCCCTAGTCCATACACAATATACACAATCAGTGCGTGTTGTTAGTGATGACGTGGAGCTAAGGTCTTTTTCAAATAAGACCGTATCAGGAAGCTCAAATTTATATTGTGCTTATCGCGTAAAATAATAATTACAATTTTTTCACGTGACTGCGATTAGAAATACTTCGGTTTGGCAACATTTTAAAACCCAAGTACAGGAAAATGTGAAAAATTAAAAAGAAACTTTTTCAACTTTCTAAAACCACATTAACATCATTATCAGTCCGCAAAAATCCTGCTGAACATTGGCCTCTCTCGCTATAGAGACAATTGCCAATAAGAGGGAGCGTAAAGGCAAATTGAAACTCTTAGATCAGATATTACATACCTAAAGTCCAAAGTAACAAAAAAATATTTATTTAAATATTATGACATCGTAATTGCGAGGGACTACATTGATTAAAAACAAAATAGAATAAAATTATCTCGATAGAAAAAAACCAAAAAATGTCCTCTTCTTTTCATTGAAAACTGTTTTTTTTTCTAGTGGTGGTGCAGATTTTAAGCAAAAAAGTGTAATGACATCACTTAAATATTACCTAGCGTTGTTTTAGAGACTTCAAAAAATTTATTACATTTTTCGTGTAATTGAATAAAATGCATTTTAAAAAATTCTCGTCCGTCTCATGTCACGCAGGGCTTTAAGTATATTTTTTTTACGAATCAGTCGTAATTTCTCCGTTAAGACAGGAAGAGTGTGTTTTCGTACACCGTTCTCAGGCCGAAAGAGATCGTGTGGTTCACGTTGTACATAAATAGGTACGAATAAATAGGTACGAATACGTCGAACAACAAAACGCAATAAGAAAATTCTCCTATTTATGTATTTTAGTATTTTGGAGTAGACACGCTTGGAAATTTTGATCCTTACTACTTAGAGAATAGTGTATTCTTTGCTTACTAATAACTCAAGCTCTCGTGATCAGCACGTAATAAGTGCAAAATAAATAGGTGTTTTAACTTCTGTTGGTCACTAAATTACTTATATTTGGGATTCGCAATTATTTATAGTTCGTAATGAAATAAAAAAGCAATGACGAATTGTAAAAACTATGCATGAACAATAAATTCATTGTTTGTGCACAATCTAACAAATAAACGAAGGAAAAAGAAATAATTATAAATATTTCAAAACTTAAGTTAAAAAATTCATCATTACAGCCCTTCATAAGACCACTGCTGAACATAGGCCTCCCCCAAGTAATACCACAAAGCACGGTCCTGAGCCACCTGCATCCATCGACTTCCTGCATGTCTTATCAGGTCGTCACTCCATCTAGTGTACAAACAACACATCAAATACTTGCAACAAAAATAATCACAATTACGTGGAATGGAATACTAGAACGCGTGCAAACCACTAGTGAGTCGATGCAATCGTCTAATATAGAGGTTAATACGGTATACACTCTTTATGAATCATTATATGTTTATGTCCAAACAATGCAATAAACATTTTCATGCAACAAAAGGCAAAGATCTGACAGGCTGTCATGAATATCTGTAACTACTTCAAGACGGCCCAAGCGAAACACAAATTACGACCATTTACACACATGATTCTAGTACACTTGACGGATTTGTTGAAAAAGAAACACCTGGTAAACAGATTAAAATGTTTGTTGTTATTAAAATCTAACTGGTGTTTTGGTACATTTCAACAAGGTGTTATAGATACTCAATCTACGGCTAAATTAGCTGTAGCTTTCAACGTTAGCATCAAAACAATGTTGGTGCATTTGCGTTAAATTGGTAAGGTAAAAAATCTTGACAAATAAGTCGAGACTTGCCTTGCACTGCAAAACAGGCCCACAACCAAAGAAATTTTCGAACCGCATTTATATTACAGCCGAAGATATTTTAAAAGAAACTCCAATTATTATGGTCAGTGCTTATGCAAATGGTTTGGAATACAGCATAGACGGCGAATTATGTAGGCCAGGCATATCCGTTGAATTTCCCGAAATTCAATATAAATCCTTAATGGATAATTCATTAGAATCATGTTTCTCCAATTTAGAAACTGTAACTGTAATAACTGCAATTAAAAATGTTAATTTTCGACATTGAACCGTATAAAAATTTGGGGTAACACTATAAGCCACGATCGCCTGAATTATTTCCCTGATTTTAATTGTTTAGAGAAATTGATATAAATTTGACTACATGAAATAGTCAAATTTATAAATAATACTATCCGTACTAGATAAAATACTTCGTCAACGTTAAGAAAATGATATTAGAAACAGATAAATAAACATAAAATATATACACAATTTAGGTACTTCATTAATAAAATATAACATTAGCTATTCCTGAAAATATAATATACTTACAATTATTTTTTAGTATCATCAGTTTTAAATTCCTAGTTTCTTACAAAAATCATTTAAAATTATCAGTACAATCTCACGTATGGCTTTTTGTACTTGCCACAGTACAACAGGGCCTATAGTAAATTACTGTACTATTAAATACCACTTGTTTTACCACTTTATACTTACTCGTAAAAAACTGTAGCAGATCAAGAGTTGGGCGCTTGCTTAATCCGGCACTGATACCATACAAAGTGGTTAGAAGGTGTGTGTTCCAGCGAAAACGGATATCGAGCCACTTAAGTCTTGAGGAAAATAGTGATATATGATCAAACTTGCGCAGGCCAAAAATGCAGCGTATGAACAAATTGAGCAGACGATCGAATTTGCTAAGTAACTCCTCAGTTATAAATTTATATAATAGATTTATATTATATGTAATATCAACATAATCAAAAATAAAAAGCAACAGAGTTGGCTAGCGTAACCTTGGCTCTCTGAAGGATAAATGTTTGCCAGAGCTTTAATGAATTCATTGTGCTAAAAGTACGTTTCTAGACCTCATTAACTTCTAGCAACAAATTTATATCATCAGCGAAAATTAAGCCCAGGTTCTTAACCTGCCCAGCATATACTAAATCTACGTAGCTTAGAGCGACCTTAGCTATATTTTGATAGTCTAGTCGATATATAATTTTTCTGCTTCCTATGATTATAACCTGTGTTTTGGCAGGAATTAGAGTCCATGACACCTCGCCCACTGATGAACTACAAAAACTCTTTCAAGAATTTTGGAGAAGAAAGAGAGGATAAATATTGGCCTATAATAACTGAAATTAGTAGGAGAGTTATTTTTGGGGACAGGAATCAAGAACGCTTTTTTCCACTCGGTAGGGAAGGTAATGGAAGCAAAGGGAAAATCTTTAATAGTATCGAACCTGACTGTTAAGTTCAATGAAACTGGCAAAGAGCAAAAATGTTTATTGTGCGCTGATAAATTAAGGAAATAACTAACATTCTGTTTGCTCTTACCAAAGCTCCGGCTGCGTAAGAACTTACATATATTCTGGATTGAGCAAGTCTCAATAGCATTGTGATTGTTACACACTGGTTGTAGCGATTCCGTGCTTTTTTAAATCTTTCCTAGTTATCATCACTGGGCGAGCTTTTATGTTTTCTTTTTAGGCAGTTCCTACGTGCCAGCAGAATATCCTCATTTCTAAGTTTATCACGCAGAGAAACCCCGAGCACAGCCCTCTCCAAAGCTTGCTAAGCGACCTTAAGCCTCCTTATACGGCCAGCAGCGAGGGACCACGTCTCAAATTCATAAATCATCACTGGCAACACACAATGGTTGTACAATCTTGTTTTTAAGTCTGGCGAGAAGATGTGTTACAATCTCCGGAACGCTTCCCAGCTGAGAAGTCAATCCATCGATTGACCTCTCGGTTGAAGTTGGACTTACTTAGTTGGATTGTTTGTCTTAGGTAAACATACACGTCAAAAACATCAAGCTTAGAATTCCCAACAACTACAGGTATATGTGTGACATAGATGTTACGTACATGTTCATCTTAAGACGGATAGGTCGTTGGGAGGCATTCTTGAGGTCATTTAATATAGTGCTTAGGTCCTCCAGCGATTCTGTCATATCGTCGGAAAATCGAAGGTGAGTGAAGAAAATAACGTATCCTTTCCAGTCCAGTAGCTTGAAAACGTCTTCCAATGCAGTGGCGAATGCAGCAAGAATTTCCGGGATATTACGTCGCCCTATCTTACACCTCTTTGCATTTGGATAGTCTTCGTATTCTGGTTCTGCTTTCGGATAGCCATCGTAGTTGCACCAGCTGTAACTTTCAACGACTGCAACACCGCCCAAATAATGACGGAATCAAAGGATTTCTCATAGTCGATATACACAAGACGAAGTGGCATATTCTACTCTTTCATTTTCTATACAATGTGCAAAAGGGTATGTATGTGGTCTATGGTGCTTGAGCCTTTTCGAAAACCAGCTGGTCCGGGAGGCTTGAAGTCGTCAAGTCTGCGTGCGAAACGATTCGTAATGACTCTCGAAAACAGCACGTAGACGCGGGAAATCAGTCTGTACTTTTACAAGAAGGCGTTGTCGCATTTTTTGAAAAAAAAAATACCACTGTTCTTCTGCTTTACGCCTCCGGAGTAGTGCCATCCACTTTCAGTAGCTCCACTATAATTCTATCCTCGCCCGGGGACTAGCCGTTTTTAAAGTGCTGGAGAGCCATTTCAATCTTGCTCACTCTGACGTCCGAAATATGATCAGAATAGTGTTGAATAAGACCAGCTCTTGGATCGATATTCACACTTGCTTGTAGTATACTCTAGTAGAGTCTTCAGAAATATTTGAATGTCATGATCACTATCGAGAAGTAAAGCTGTGGTTACAAGTAACTAGCCAACAGTGGTGACTTAGCAAAATTAATATAACATCTAAATTCTTCACCATCATCATCATCATCATTACAGCACTTCACAAGTCCACTGCTGAACATAGGCCTCCCCCAAGTAACGCCACAAAGCACGGTCCTGAGCCACCTGCATCCATCGACTTCCTGCATGTCTTACCAAGTCATCAATCCATCTGGTGGGGGGTCGCCCTACATTTCGTCTACCGGTACGAGGCTGCCACTCAAGAACCTTTTTTCCCCAACGGTTGTCGGTTTTTCGAGCTGTATGGCCGGCCCATTGCCACTTCAGCTTACTAATCCGATGGGTCAGTCACTCTGGTTATACTGCGGATATCCTCATTTCTAAGCTTATCACGTCTAGAAACCCCGAGCATAGCCCTCTCCATAGCTCGCTGAGCGACTTTGAGCGTCTTCAAACGGCCAGCAGTGAAGGACCACGTCTCAGTTTCATATGTCATCACTGGTAATAAAATTTAGTTTTCAGATTTTGAGGTATACCTGACGAGAAGATGTAACAAAATTTCCCGAACGCTGCCCAGCCGAGTTGAATCCGTCGATTGACCTCTCGGTCGAAGTTAGACTTACCTAGTCGGACTATTTATCCCAGGTAAACGTAATCGTCAACAAATTCGAGCTTAGTGCTCCCAACAACTACCGACATAGGTGTGATATGGATATTAAACATGATCTTTGTTTTGTCCATGTTCATCTTAAGACCTATCTGTTAGGAGGTATTATTAAGGTCATTGAGCATAGCGCTTAGGGCCTCCAGCGATTCCGCCATAAGGACTATATCGTCGCCAAATCGAAGGTAAGTGATGTACTTGCCATTGATGTTAAAACCGTATTCTTTCCAGTCCAGTAGCTTGAAAATGTCCTCCAATGCAGCGGTGAAGTGTTTCGGGGATATAACGTCACCCTGTCTTACATCTCTCTGCAATTGGATAGGTTTCTTACTCTCGTTCTGTCACACGGATAGCCATCGTAGCCCACGCCAAGTCAAGCCGAGCCAAGTGTACAAACACTTCAGCATTTCGATATACCGACAGTCAACTTGGCACCGCTAAAGAGACTGTAGCACCGTCCAAATTTCGACGGAATCAAAGGCTTTCTTATATCCACATAAGCCAGGCAAATTGGCAGATTGTACTTTTCGGACTTCTTTACAATTTGGCGAAGGGTATGTATGTGGTCTACAGTGCTAAAGCCTTTTCGGGAACCGGTTTTTTCGGGAGGCTAGAAGTCATCGAGTCTGCGTGCGAGACGATTCGTAATGACTCTCGATAACAACACGTTGACGCGGCTCAGAAGGGATCTGTAGGGTCTGTAGTTCTTCAAGAGAGTGTTGTCACCTTTCTTGGAGAACAAGACCACCGCACTTCTGCTCCACGCCTCGGAGTAGTGCCACCATGGAGGACGGAATTAAAGAGCTTCTGAAAGACTTCAAGTACCGATTTTCCACCCGCTTTCAGAAGGTCCACTGTGATTCTATCCTCGCCCGAGGAATTGCCGTTTCTAAGGTGCCGGAGTGCCATTCTAATCTCTAATTCTAATGTTCTAATATCTAATTGATAAGACTTGCTCTTGAATCATTATTCTCACTTGCATGTCGCTCCAACGATGATGTGCACAGCTGCCCATAACCCTCTCAATCTCACTCAATATCTCAGGTGTCCCAGAAACGATGTTGGTGATATCGTTTCTGGGACACTCAGTATTCAGATTTGACAGTTGGGTCTTTCAGGCAGACGGATCTCTGGCAAAGACATTGGAGCCCTGGTTCCACTCAATCGCTTCTTCAATACGAGCTGTATTGAAGTTGCGTAAGTTCTGCCTCATGCATAAATCTATTCATTATCTAGTATCGAGTAGCCGAACTAGGCTGTGGGGAAAGAGGCCATCTTCGATCCAGCTGCCCTAAGCGAACTGTAAAAAGGGAAAGTTATTGATCTCGAGAGGATAGTGTTACCATTTAGTAGTTAACAGCACCGCCCAGCAATAGCAGAAATACGACTTTGTGTTCGAAAACTGCGGCGGGAAATCTCATGGCAACACAGATGCGTATTCAATATTACCTCGTCCTGAATAAAAAAACTGCTAAAGTCACACCTATATACAAATCAGTGACCCCAATAACTACTGTCCTATTTCTGTCTTGCCAATAGTTTCCAAAATTTTTGAAAAAGTAATATATGACCGCTTAAATAAATACCTAACATCAATTAAATTTATCTCAAACTGTCAATATGGTTTTCAGCCCAGTACAAATACCTTAGCTGCAACTGTAGATTTAATTACCAAAAAAAAAAACATTGATGCAAAAAACTAAGGGCTTGGAATATTTATTGACTTAAAAAAGGTGTTTAATTCACTAATTCACTTTCTACCATTAAAGAAACTTTCTCATATAGGTATTAACGGCCACGCCTTTAAAAATTTTGAAAGTTATCTAAATAAAAGATATCAAATTATAAAGATTGGTCACTATCAAAGTTCTCCACAACCCATTACGTACGGTGTTCCCCAAGACTCTATATTGGGCTCACTTATTTTCCTGATTTATATAAATAACATAAATGATCTTAAACTAAATGGCGAAATTTCTTTATATGCAGATGATACCTGTATTTTACTACAGGTACAACCTACTTTTGACGTTCCATAGATGAAGTTATCGCACGAGCCCAAGTAGATCTATATATAGTACGTAAATGGTTCCAATTCAATTTGCTAACAATTAATACATCAAAAACCTTGTACATGATATTTAAACCCAAATACAAAAACATTTGCAGTTATTCCCCTGTCACCATTGACAACTCTACAATATACGTGTCAGCCGAGAAATATTTAGGTTTAGTGCTAGATAAAACCTTGTCATGGAAAGGTCATATAGGCAAAATAAGATCGAAACTATTTTCTCTACTGAGTTCACTTTACGGCTGTATTCGTAGCCTTCCTTATCATGTTCTTCGTACATATATAATACTTTAGTCAAACCACATCTAGATTATCTAGTTGAAATTTAGGGGTACACCTACAAAACAACATTAAAATACATACAAATAAGTGAAAACAAAATATAAAAACTATTATTTAATTATAACCTCTTAACACCTACAGACAAACTGTACAGAGAAACTAAAAGTATGAATATTTATCAAACATTGTTATAATACCTGTTTTCTAATAAAGAAAATTTTAGATAGTAAAATACACACACAATTAAAATTTGTAACAAATAAAGGCAAAGGAAAGAAAGTACTTCGTAACACTAATAATATTTACATACCTATGGTACGAAGAAACTATGGTAAACAGAGTATACTTTTTGACGGAGTTAAAATATATAATAAATTACCACAAGAAATAAAAATATTAAATAGTTTTAACATATTTAAAAGCAAACTAAAACAACACGTAATGAACAAATTTTAAATCCGATCCCGTCCATATGGCAACCGCTAATCAGCGTTAATCGGTAACGTTAAAAAATACTTTGCTTACAAGCCACTTTATTAACTTGATTTCTAAAAGATTGGTAACTTGTTCATCGATAAACTAAAAGATAATTTAAGAAGTATTAAGTTATACAATAATGTATAAACTAGTAAGAAGTTGTATGTCACGAAACTCTTTCCCTTCTTTTAATGTATATATATATATATATTTGCAATCTGTATGCTCATAACCCAATCCACCCATAACTTGAATATTGTAACTTCTCATTAACTGAAATGCATATTTCTTTTGAGAATAAATATCTTTAACCACAACAGCCAGTAACATGCCTAATATGTATAATACTTCACAATATAACTGTAGTATTTTATGATGAAGAGGATAAAAAATAGTATTGCAGATAAGCAGCCATCTATCCAAAAGATTAGGGTGCGTTACACTGCTCTGAACTTAGTAATTTAAAGTTCCGAGTCCAGTTTCATAAAATGGTAAGCGTGATGTATATGAATGTTTGATAAAGCGGACATCTTATTATTATAAAAACTAAAGTCAAACTAAATTATACTCAGGAATCCGGAAGTTATACAATTTGTTAAGACTAGATGGTACATAACTGAGAACAACACTGCCATATCCTGTACTAGGTCTACGGATGTATAAAGAGTTGTAAAAAAAATTCTCTTCTCTTTCTCTCTATCTTTTTTATTAATTTTTTATTCCTAATTTCAATTAGTTATAGCTTGTTTTTATTGTTCCATTTACTTTTTTGGTTTAATTACTAATATTATGATAATGTACATTAATGATTTTCGGTTTGATTACCAATAATCTTATAATAAATGTAAAATCTTACCGTCATCCAATAAAAGGAACGTATAGGCCACAACGGTGACATAGACTGCCGATATAAGACTTAACCATATCGCGAAAGCGGTGTTTGATGTAAGTGCCAAGTACCTGAAATAAAGGTTTTTTTACATAATTTAGAGCGCTGACCTGCTCTCTCTATCTCTCTATCAATCTTAGAGAAGTTTAAAAACAAGTATGTATTACATGTGTCCTATCAAAATTCCGAAGTGATGCTCTATATATAAAACAGCCCCGAAATATCACACGAAGCGTTGGTAGTTCACCGGGCTGATCACCTTGCCCGGCGAGAGATCTCCCCATTTCCATTCACAGCCATACAAGTTTTCGTTAATAGTATAGTTCAAATTCAATCATAGAGTAGAGTAAAATTCAATGGATGACCTTAAAAAAATTCTTAGAAAAAATATCAATCCGAATGAAGATATTTTTTATATTAAAACTACCACACACCACCCCCCACACATCCTCCAAATCCTAAGGTTACAACCTATATACGTCCCATTTCTGACAGGGTTTTAGGGCTAGGAAGTGATCGCCGCGTTACCCCAATGCGTGATGGCGAACGTCACAGGTCTTCGAAATATACATTTTTTTTATTTCTCAGACATGCAGGTTTCTTCAAGATGTTTTCCTTCACTTGAAATTGCAATTTACAATTTTATTGGTGCCGGCGGGGATCGAACCCTGAAGCTGCAGAACATCTGAGCTACCATAGATCACGTTTCTAAGACATGCGGGTTTTCTCAATTCGGGGATCGAATTAGTCACACTTACGGTCACCAGCCCAATGGGTCAATTATATTTGAAATCGATGTCAAGAACGAGCCCAATCATTAATAAAATAATAAAATTATTATTATTATTATTATTATGTGGGGTATCTATATAGTTTTCTCATCTGGTTGGGATGTATAAATATATAATTATAAATGAAAATATACAATTAATATACAAAAATATCAATAAAATAAAATAAATACAAAAATACATAAATAAATAAAAGCCCAACCAGATGGAAAGCCCTCGGCAGGGGAGACCAAACGGCCAAGGGTTAGGGGGAAAGGGAAAGAAACCGGCGGACGATGCGGGCAGTATCAAGGAGCACCGCCTTCTGCATTAGAGCCCGGAGCGGTCCGTCACGGAGTCCCAGTCGCCTCAGATGACCAGGGAGGCTAACTGGGATTAGCCCATTCGCAGAGACGACTACAGGAATAATTTCGGTCGGCAGACCATCCCACATGTCGGTCAACTCGTGAGCCAGGTCCAGATATTTTGATTGCTTATCTGTTTCGGCTTTTACGAGGTTCTCGTCATACGGGATGGTAATATCGACCAAAAATATCCTTGACTGTGCCCGGTCCATCAGCACAATATCAGGATTATTCGCAAGAATAGTAAAAAACAGACCGTAAAAAAAAGGTTGGCGTCACCACGCCCACCATGCTTTCGCGGCAAGTACAGCCTCATTACCGACGATCTCGGATGATGCATCCTATGGGACGTCATGGTAGTGCGGACTTTTCTATCCAGGGCGTTAAGTTCGGTCTGACTCCACCTGAGTATGCCAAAGGTATATATGAGGATAGGCATGACCCAACTGTTATATGCGTGTGTCTTATTCACACTGGACAAAAGGCTATTAAGCACTTTGGCCAAGCGTGCATAAAACACGTCGCAAACTGACTGTTTCATACCAGCCTCATCGATACCGATGTTCTGCGACATACCCAGGTATCGGTATGTTTCAGCCTCGGAAAGGGTCTTTAAGTTGACGGGCACAGATAAATCTATGCCCTCAGAGTTAGCAACCCTTCCCCTTTCAATATGAAGGACCGCACACTTATCCGTCCCCAGCTCCATTTCAATGGAATTGCTAAATTCACAAGAGATGTTTAGCAATTCCATAAGATGGGAGCGACTGGAGGCGAATAACTTGAGGTCATCCATATAGAAAAGGTGGGTCACTTTTGTTCCTCCTTTCCGTAGCTGAAATCCTCTCCTGGAGCCCTCCAGTAAGGTACTGAGAGGGTTCAGAGAGAGGCAAAACCAGATTGGACTCAGACAATCGCCCTGGAAGATACCCCTTCTTATCCTTATGTGGTTCTCCGCAGCCATCATACGCTCGACCTGATAACAGAGGATCGTACTCCACTGCCCCATATACTGCTCGAGGAAGTCTCTAACTGTACAGTCAATCTCGTACAGCTCGAGGACCCTCTTTAGCCATGCGTGGGGCACCGAGTCGAATGCTTTTCTGTAGTCTATCCAGGCGGCGGAGAAGTTCCGACGGTTGCGTTTTACCACTTTGCCAATGACCGCGTCAATGAGGAGTGGTTCCTTGGTTCCACGACCACCGCCCCGACATCCATTTTGAGCGCGTGACATCACCTGATTTAGCTCCAGGTGACGAGTGATTCTCGCGCTCAAAATGGATGTCAGTGTCTTATATATAGTGGGTAGACACGTGATGGGGCGGTATTTGCTCGGGTCTGTGGTATCCTGATCTTTAGGAATCAAGTGAGTGATCCCAGTAGTGAAGAGGCTCGGGAGCGACTTCTGATCGAGAGCCTCTTGATACTGTCGGGCGAGCACAGCGTGACACACTACGAACCCCTTCAGCCAGTAATGATGCAGCCCGTCGAGCCCCGGACTTTTCCAGTTCGGGGCCCTACGGACCGCCTCAGCCACGTCTTCACACTTGCACTCTGGCTCGCCACAACTTCCATCCAAGGGCCCTCGCTGTGGTTTACGGGCTCTGACCACAGGCCACGCCAAAATGCGACAGTGTCAGCCTGATCCGGTCCTGGGCCCGCTCCACATACCTCTGGTCGCTCCAATGATTTATAGAGCCTCTTCTGATCACTCTGGAAGAGACGATTTTGGTTGAATTATTATTATTATTATTATTGAATCTTTCTGTTTGTATTCATCGGTGTTATAAAGTGTTATAAACTCTGAACATTTATATCATCAATATTATTCGAAACAATCAGTTCACTTACTGTCGCATTATTAATATCTATAGAATAAACATAAATTTTCTATCACAGATTGAGAATCACTGACTTTGAATATAAATATATTTCTTCAGTCGAAATTCCTCCATAAGGGAATTATTATACTAAATAATAATACCTAACTTATTTTAACATTGGAACAAAAACGATTACAAAAAGTACATATTTGGAATTAAGTCAAACGACAATAATTTTCGAAAAAAACTCTATTCATGGCAGACCAGTATTAGCAACTAACGTCAACTGTTGTATGATGGGTGATAAAGATGGCTTCTAATCATATATTGTTAATAAATTTAAGTCGTTCGTTTGTTAGAAATTAAAATAAATCGGAATATGTTCTGATTAATTTTTTTACTTTTATGGGTATTTATTTTTTAATTTTTTATGTTTATATATCAATTTTTGTAATTGCACCAATACACCTTACTAGACTTTCCAATACTTACCATGCCGCCGTATGCACGTCTTGTTTGTCGTCGAATTGAATGCGAAGCATCTCTTGAGCATTGCTCGCGCGGATTGTGGTCAGGCCCGCCATACTGGCCGATACGTGTGAGAATACGGGACTCCGAGACACCCCTTCCACTCTGTTAAAAACAGTTGCTTTCAAATATTATCAAAAATATGTAGGTAATATTTGGAGAACATAGTATATAAATATATATATATATAAAAAAAAAGTTCATTTTCAAAACTACCTTAAAGTTAGATATTAGCATTTAAAAATGAAAACTCTTATATGCTGCATTAATCAACAACTTTACGTAAGATACATGTTTGTCTTTATATTAGCATAAAATTTCATTTACTATTATTAAAGACAGTTGCAAATTATTCGCTCTGATTTTCTAAATAAATCACTTCAGAGCTGTCAGGTCTTTCTCTCACAAGGATTCCCGCTAACAAAAGTGAACCTTATTTAATATTTATAACATGTTCCCTAAAATCAATACAAATTCCTAATTACGACATTCCTTCACCGAACGTTAATCTAGGTATATTTTATTGACAGTGGATGAATGATTTCTTATATTTACTCGAACACTACACATTAAATAAAACTATTTATACGGATATTATGGCGTTTAATAAACTTATTTTTAAGTCCTTACGTTTCGTGTGCTTTACAGCAGCCACGGCCACGGGGGTGAGGGGGACTGAGATGTTTGACGTCCCAATTTCATAGATAACCCGGCTACCTTCCGTTTATAAACATTATTTTTTGGTCCGATCTACATAGAATAAGCTTATGGACGCCACACGCGGTCAGTTAGTCATCAGTTAAACTGATATCAGTTCGAATGGATTTAAGCCAAAGAAATTTCCACACACACACGGTCACTTCAACCGATAATTCCAACTGATCAGTTCAAACTAGGATTGTGATATAATTGATATATTTAATATATTATAATTATAAATATATCAATATTGGGGTTTATATAGCGTAAGTTAATATACAGTAAGTCAATATCGGAGTTTTATATATCGAAAAAAATATCGATATATCGGCTTTATTTAAAAAAACAATCGTAAGTCATTTAGTTTAGTTCATTTACTATATTTATTAAGCAAATTAAATTATAAATGTATGAAAATGTTATAATATAGTTCCTATTAATTATTGTTTAATTAAAATAAGAGGATTATGTGTACCAATATTTTTCATTAAGAGTTTTCAAAAATACTCGTTGTTTTATACGTTCAACTATTTAATATGTTTAGAAGCACAAGTACTACAGGTGTAGCTGAAGAAATCAAATATTTAATAGCTATTTCTGATAGAACGGGAGTAAACGGTCTACCCAGCCGACAGTCGATGACGACAGTAACTCAAGTTCATAAGACGCCTATCCGATCATAATAACTTGAGATTTACATTGTTGCGCGCTATAATTAGCGCCTGGTATGTGGCGGCTGATTATTAGCAAAGTCAGGTATCAAGCATCAGAAATAGGGGCGTCAAGATCTTTCTAGAACTCTTCCACTAGCGCCATCTAGTATCGAATGGAAGAACTAAGCTTCCTTGAAAGCCCCACACTCGAACTTTCTGCACCTGTCGGGGCCGATATTTGCTGGAATATTCTGGATGTTTTGGTGGAAAAAGCCTATATGCAGCCGTTGAAAGCCGCGTTCGGGGCAGTATTGAATCGGCGATACAAGCGAAGCTTCGGAGCGAAATAAAGTGAACTAAAATGATCAGTGTGATTAATTATTAGTGTCTTTTAAGTTTTAATTGGTGTTCGGTAATTCAAGTCACGAACTCTAAGCTCGTAACAATTAGTGTCAGAAGTGGGATAAAATCATGCTGATTTTACCTAAGGATGAGGCGGAGGTTGTCCGTACCCGAAGTCAACGCCAGCAGGAGACGGACCAGAGAATATTTGGTGGTGCAACGCCGCAGACGTCGAAAGCCCAACTGCCAGACACGGAAGCTGGCCCTTCAACAGCTCCTACACCTGCAGCACCTAAGTTAGGAGCTCTCAAGATGATGCTGTAGGAACAGGCTCCCCAGCAGGTGGAACAGGCACGCCGATTGGAAGAGTACTGCGGGGTGGCCAAGAGGAACAGACCAGATATTCATATTTAAACGCTTAGCCCACTGCGCGACCATCGTTTGGCTGCGCCTTCGAGCAAACGCGCTAATGCTGGTGCTACACTAACAGGGAACGTCTATGCCCATAAACCCAGCAATAATTGCTATAAATTTAACGCGATAAATTGAGTGGCTACTTGAACGCTCAACATCAATAAATTTCAATGCCATTGAACGGCGTTAAAGTTGGCGTTAATGTTCCATTTATAGAACCATTTTTAACAAATATAAAAAGGCTTCAACCTTTTTATATTTGTTAAAAATGGTTCTATAAAAACCCATTAGGCTTTCCTTCGTCTTTCTAATTCTTCGATAGTTGTTTTAAAAGATAATAATTGGACAATTCGTCGCAAAGCATTATTTTGCGATTTACGATTCTTAAAATTTTGAGTCTCAGATCCCACAAATATGGCTCTGTTTGCAGAATCTCAAGAAACGTAATAACTTTTTATTATTCTGTTCCATCATAGCCATACGTGCGACCCTGTTGCGCTCGTCGTGCACAAATGTGACAAACGTGGTGTGGCCGCTTCAACGCGTTATTTCGTGCATTAATCTCTTTGATGTACCGCCACTCGAGCCAAACGACAAACAGCATTGTAAATACCATTGTCAAATTAACGCGTTAAGTCGTGGCAACACCTACATTCAACGTCCATCAACGCGATAATGAACGGCATTTTTCGTTAGTGTGGACCCAGCATAAGATTGTACAAAAATGATAAAATAAACAAGTCTGGAATTAATAAAATAATCATTTTATTTGTTTGATAATCAAATATGGTGAGTTTTATAAAATAATGAATTTTTCGTATGGCATTCAGTATTCAGTTACATAACACGTATAGGTACACTATATGTAGTTTAGTTTTCTTTATTTTTCTTGTGTTTTCTCCCCTCTTTTAGGGGAACACACAATCTATGCACTTCATTAAAAACAAATTTTAATGAAGTGTCACGGCAGTGGCGGTTAAGAATATCCACTAGTAAAAGACGACAGAGGGAAACAGGCAGGAGACGGGCAGCAGATTCTTCCTGATAACAACAATAATATAATAAAAACTGCTGTTGCCAGCCCGCTCGCTAAGCGTGGCAACTATGGTAATATAGCCCCCATGCTAGTTACGAAGAAATGGTTCCCATTCCCCGGCAGCCCCGCTATTCCTGGCTACGGTGGCGACCATGGTAACGGCAGGGCAGGGGGTGCTAAGAATCTCCGGTGGAGGTTCAGTTGCCACCTACGACGACTCAATCTGGCAACATATAACCACGGTGATTCTCGAATCCGACAACCTGTTTTATCACGAGGACGGTGACCATCTGTCCCAAGAAGGTGTTGGATATATCGTCCACAAGTCTCTCGTTAACAACGTTGTAAAGATTGGGAGTGTATCGACTAGGGTGGTGTACCTTATACTCAGAATCACCAAACGGTATTCGCTGAAGGTCATACAGGTTTACGCGCCAACGTCGTAACATCCCGATGAGGAGGTGGAGGAAATGTATGAGGATATTTCTAGAGCCATACATTCTTCCAAAACTCACTATACGGTGTTAATGGGCGATTTAAACGCAAAAATGGGCACAAGAAAGAACGTTGAGCTGAAGGTAGGGAAATTTGAGATAGGGTAACGTAACCCAAGGGGCCAGCAGCTGGCCCCTTGGGTTACGTTCTTCTTCTTGGAAAAAGAAGGACTCTTTATGATGAACTCTTTCTTCCAGAAGCGGCCCCACAGGAAGTGGACCTGGTCGGGCCCCGACGGTTCGACAGAAAAAATGAGATTGATCATTACTTACCAGTAATTAAAACGAACTGAAGCCAGCGGATTACGGTGCGCCGGGAAAATTCCGTGGAGTGGCATCAGTTAAAAAGTTCAACTTAAGATTTCACACTCACGATCAGTTTTTGGATGTATGTCAGTTTGACTGAGCAGTTTCAACTGACAGTACGCCCGATAAAATCCGTGGGTTGTCGTCAGTTGAAAATTTCAAGTTTTTGGATATACATCTGTTCAACTGATCATTTTAAACCTATAGTTTTGGGTAAATCAACCAATTTGGCATGCACGTATACTTGGAGATCATCTACATACAGGTGATAACGAGAAGATAATTCGTACTTAATAATGATAATCGAACTTGAAAAAATTTAAAAAAAGAGAGGAGACAACATATCACCATGCGGTGCACCGGCATTGATCGTGCACCAGTTGGAGAACGAATTAGCTACACGTGTTGATGATTCGTTTGCCGGCGACCAAACAAGTAACTATGAAACCAGTCAATCACTTCAGAAGACACGTTAAGAGTAGCCAAGATAGCTAACAGGAGATCGAAATCGAGTGAGCGTTGCAGAAAAAAAAAAAAAGACACCAAACAAAAAAACCGAGTAACCGAACCCAACCAATAAAAAAAAAAAAAAAAAAAAAAACCCAATGGCAATTAGTGGCATGACGAATTAGGTGTCATCGGGTTGTTGGGTTTTCTATCAAGAAATTCTCAGTAGCAGCCCGGACTCAAGGGTTTAGCAGTATTTCATCCCTATGCCTCAGATAGCACGTATAGCCCTTTGATTGTTCTTACCGCTGATAGTAACGCTTTCGTTCACTCTTAGTTTTTTAAATAAAATAAATGTATCTAGTGTTTAAACTTACTCTAAATTACTATCAATAGATGCAGTGTTTCATTGGTGTTCGAGTGGTTAAATCATCCAATGTTTTAATGTTAAATTGTGATAGAAATACTCTAAAAACTGTGAGAAGCACCGTAGTTATTTTTAATAGTTGGAGTCAGTTGTTTATTTATCTCCGAAGTGTATCGCTAATACGGAGAGAATATCGGCGAACGATTGGCGCTGTGGCTTACGCATTAACGCAACAAGAAATTAAGTATATGAGGCGTTAGATCGAATCCCAACAACTGAGGTCTTAAAGAAGAAGGAGAAGAAATATAAATATGTATGGGTTAAGTTCAGGCGTATATATATATATA